TAACGTGAGGTAATTCACTTTCCTCCGTAAAAGCTAGTTCAATTTCATCAATAAGCCGGTCGCCGACCTCGGTCGCGGGCATTGAATCGGCCCCGGTAATAGCTGCCGCCCCGAGCGTAGACACACGAATGTAATGAGATCCAATACGACTAGGAAATGCGCGCTAGCATCGGATAACGCGCGTAAATTGCTGGATTTGCTGCTCGGCCGCCGATAAACCTTGCTGCCGCCGACGGCCGCCATAGTTGACCGGTGCGACCTAGGCATGGCATTTACGCCAATGGTAGCGTAAGGTCCCAATAGAACGGGCGATAAATTGACAAAATGGGTCCTTTTCACATAAAATGCCATCCGAAAAAACTGGCAAATTAGCAATTGGGCTATTGACCACGGTTGGTGGCTGCCATGCGTCGCATTCATGCGCCCGGTCGGAGGTTTGAACAACGTCCGCAATTTCACGTGCTATACGCATTGGAAGTCGATGATTAGGTGATTGAAGGTGTCGTAAGACCTCTCTCGGTCTAACAACGTGCTCGCATTTCTTACACACGAAGACTGGGTCTGTCGAAGGTAGGTGAAAAAATTGGGCTGCCATGGTTGACTAGTACAATATATATATCGTAATATAACGAATTGCATGAAATTTGACGAATGTCGAATGCTGGCTTTGGGGTGAAATGGTCTAGAAATAAAGTGCGATGATAGCTAGGGAGCGTCTAAACCCCTAAATTAATTGCTACCCCTCCTGATCATTATGGGCTAGTATTATCGAAGTTGTTCTATTCGTCTACAGTGCTGCGGCGGCGTCTTTGGTAGTAAACGTACGCCGTAAAGGTACAAAATCGCGTACCCCAACAAAACATCTCTAATTTTTAATCGCTATTTTCACCATAATTACTACGCTGTGCATGCTCCGAAGGAAATGGGAGATAAATTAGATGGTCTATTATAACTGACCAAAATTTGAGAGCAATCGGAGGCCTCTAGACCTTAGGAGTCTAACGAGGAAAAGAACCTGGAGTCTAACGGGCCCCACTTTTTATGTCCCATAGTGAAGGGAAAGCCCTAACCTGGAGTCTAGTAGACTCCAGCACCCCCCGTAGGATAGGGTGAAATGGTCTAAAAGTAAAGTGAAATAATAGCTAGGGAGCGTCTAAACCCCTGAATTAATTGCTACCCCTCCTGATTATTAAGGACTAGTATTATCGAGGTAATTAGATACGTCTACGGTGCTGTGGTAGCGGCTTTAGTAGTAGACGTATGCCGTAAAGGTACAAAATCCCGTACCCCAACAAAACATCTTTAATTTTTAATCGCTATTTTCTCGATAACTAATAGGCTGCGTATGCTCCGAAGCGGATGGGGGATATTTCAAATGGTCTATTATAACTGACCAAAGTTTTAGACTGATCGGAGGCCTCTAGACCTTAGCAGTCAGGTCGGGAAGTTTACCTGCAGTTAGGTCGGGCCCACTTTTTATGTCCCATAGTGAAGGGAGAGCCAAGACCTGTAGTCAGCCCTGACTGCACCACCCCCCGTGGGATAGGGTGTAAGATACGAATACGGGGTAATCTATTTAGTACGGGCTACTATAGATAAGGGTAGGTATCCGATTACGGTAATAAATCCCGTCGGTCGTAACGCATGCAAGGTTTTCACCTATTTTTGATCATCCGCCACACCACCATTATTAGTCTGATCGTGCTCAAACTTTCACGATTGCTAGATCTAATAGTTAAATAGACTATGTCCAATTTTTAGATTGTTCGGAGCAATACGTAGCTCGTGGTCGTAGAGTAAACGTCGAACCTTTAGTACTGCGACCGGGTGACCCTATCAAAACTTTTCACCAATTTTGATTATCTACCACACCACTATTATTACTCTGATCGTGCTCAAACTTTCACAATTCCTAGATATAATAGTTAAATAGACTATCTCTAATTTATAGACTAATCGGAGTAATAGATAGCCCGTGGTCGCCGAGTAAGTGTCGCACCTATAGTACTGTAACCACCCAAAAAGGTACAAGGAGGTACATCACCAAAATACTTTAAACGCGTATGACTCCATAACTAGAAGGCTGTGCAAGCTCCGAAGGAAATGGGAGATACCTCACGTCTACCTCTATAACCTATGAAAGCCTTAGATCGATCGGAGCTAACTAGACCTCTGCAGTCAGGATGGGAAAAGAACCTGCAGTCAGGGTAAGCCGTACTTTTAGGTAACATAGTTAAGACAAAGCCCTAACCTGCAGTCAGCCCTGACTGCACCACCCCCCGTGGGATAGGGGCAGTGGCTGATGTTATTAATTATGAAGCATACCCTACTAGCTATTAGACTAAAACTGAAGTTTCTGAGGTTTTGCAAGGCAGTATAAAGAAGTGGGCCTTAGGTCAAAGTACTGTACCAGAGGTCAAATACTTATGATACACCACTGTATTTGTCTTGTCAGATACTTTACATTTCCAACCCCACCCGTAATGAATGATTTCCAGCCTAGCTAAATTAAGCATAAACAGTTTCACCATCGTCTTGGCGTTAGGGTTTGGGAGAGTTTCTCTATGTAAAATGTCGAAGCCAATTTCGAATATAACTGTAAAGAAAAAGCTGTTCTTCATATATTCCTAGATACATTTAGGAATTCAGGACTTGGCACTTTCAGACCGGTCGTGGCTTTCTTCTGGGGTTTTGTAACGTTGTCAGTCCTGTCTCTGGTCGGAGCCAATTGTACTGTACACGTATATTGTTCTGTGGCCCTTCAGTCATAAACTTTTATTGGGACACCCCTTTTACTCTATCTTTTGGCACTCAATCATGATGTGATGGACCAGAAGTATTGTGTGCCGATGGAAAAAACCAAGCCTCAAGCTATAGCAGTCTATAATTGAAGTATGATTTACGAATCACAGCGGTCCATCTGGAGGCATCTCGGCTTGGGCCTCTTACTTGGCAGGACCCATTTTGAAGAATAGAAAGGCCGTGCACGTCCAGCGAAGCATAAGAAGGTTGGAATTCGCGATCTTGCTTTTCCTTCCTCTTATCTCTATCAGGGGGCGGCGGCTATCCTATTCTCTCTCTTCGCTCTTTCCCTGAACCTCTTCCTGCTATTACTGACATTCCGTATTTTTGAATCTCTCTTTTGTTATCTTTCTTTGATCATTCCTTCTCAGGAAGATAATTTAACTCAGATGGATGTAAAATACCATGGATTCCCCACACTGCACTGTTCTACTTGGTTTTTCAGGTCATGTCAGAAGAACTGTGTCGTAACACGCAAAAGATACTTCCTGGGTTGTTTCAACAGATCTTCGGGAGAAGAAAAACTCATTTGTTCAATCTTAGCATCAATTACTTTTCCTTAATACTTGCCTGAACGGGTATTCTAGAACCTGACACTAACCTCATGCATGAGAAGTGCTATTAGGATGACTGAAAAACATGTGGCTCCAACTAACATGATCGACTAATCCGCACTAAACCATGTTCGGTTACCCCTCCTCACCCCTTTCACTTGATTACTTTCCCCTTTACACAAATACAACAACCTTGGGAAGATCTCATTTCTGTCGACACTTGAGGATGGGAAACCCAAAGAACTCATCCCATGCTCAATCTTTCCCTACATACGCGGACTACATCGAAGCGGAGTTCAGTGACAATTACCATCGATATGCTTGGCTAGGTAGCTTCCTTCGACAGGGCCTTCAGAGACAGTCAGCAGACAGCTTGGCGCTTCCTGTTCGGATTTTTATCCTAGATTGTGGGGCAAATGGTCTGAAAAGCAGACGTTTTTCTGTCAAAAAAACCGACACGATAGATCCCGCTCTAGTCGAAGCCCTGAAAGAAGAACCCGGATCTCGAACGCGGTTGATATTTTTTCAATACCGTCATTTTGATAACATCAACCCGTCTTGTGTGGATTTGATTGGTCTTAGGTGTGACATTGATCCGGAATTTTTTTGTGCTCATTTCGAGTGTGATTTTAATCAGGCTGGCCATATGATTGCGCACTACCCTTCCCACTCTCTTCCTTCCGAGAGACGTTTTTTGCAGGTTAAACAGGATGATTGGACATTCATGACCACGACATGGAAGATCTCAGAGGAAAAGCGTACATGTATGTTACTTTTACCCCAGCAACTTCCGGCGGCTTCCCTTCTCCTTTAACGGTTCACCTACCATATAGTTGTTGTTTTTGCATTGGACCATTATATGGGTGCAGCTGATCAAATATCCGCGTTGAATGACCAGCTTGTTCACCATACATCACCAGCAGAAATTATGCGGCTGAATCAAAATCCCGCAGATTACCTTTTTCTTTACGTTAGAGAGGCTGCACGGCGAGGAGCATCTATCTGCGCTCAACTGGCGCCTTTCCGTGAAGGAGAAATAGCGAGCCATAATGGGCATTTGGACACGAAATGGGACACAAACCAACGGAACCGCCGTGCCATGATGTTTTCTTTGAATAGCCTGTCAAAGTTCCTCGGCTATCCTGAAATCAACCCCAAATCTTCCTCTTTGCAACTTTCTGCTCTCTTGTCCGATTATCGGGAGTTGATCCAGGAAAGTGAGATCATTTCGGCAGATCTGCAGGCACTTTTGCAGCAACAAGCAAATCTAGCAAACATTCAACAGGCAAGGAGAGCTGTTGAGCAAACGGACTCAGTTCGCAGGTAAGTGCACCCTGGGGCTACGCTTAAATTATTCAAAATTGCTTCGAAAATGCCTCCTGACTACATTCAAGGCTTTCTGTTGTCGCATTTTTATTCATTCCACTGAGTTTTGCAACATCATTCTTCGGCATGAACTTCAAAGAACTTGGGACAGGGCCCCTGTCAATTGGCTTCTTTTTCCTTCTCGCCATTCTCTCAGGCGCCTTGTGTGTCATCCTTTCAGTCAGTCTTGAAGCAATAGAGAGGTTTTGGAGTCATGTAAAAATTCTCTCCAAAAGAAATAACAGATTGACAACCTGGATAGATGGCTGAGGCAAATGGTTCACTCATGCCAGAATGGATGATATTTGCAAGGTGCAGGCTAAATACATCGACACTGGTGCAAAACAACACGTAACATATTTCACAAGCGAGCTGACCGGCCAAGCGAGCTGGCCACCCCACCAAACATGCTACCATTAAATTGTAAAAATTAGCACCACAACGCCATATAATTAAAAATGAAGCTATTCAGACCCTCCCTGGGCACCTATTTCTCTTATGTCTAGGCGTTTTACAAAGACT